AGCAAAACTCCATCTAAAAAAAAAAAAAGAAAAAGTCTGTGCGCTCAGCTCTCTCTTCCCTACCCCTGCCCCGCCCCCTCCCTGGCAGTTGGACCCTTTCCTGGGGATGATGATGGGCGTCGGCGGAGGCATGGACTTTGACTCCAAGAAAGCCTACAGGTGAGGCCCTGCCTGGGGTCAGGGGCAGCCGGGAAGGGACAGGGTGAGGTGGGACGGAGGGCACAAGGCAGAGGAGAGGAGTGGGCAGGGGCAAGCCTGCCTGGGAACTCTGATCTCCTGCTGAACCGCAGGGACGTGGCCTGGCTGGGTGACTGTGAACAGGGCTGCCTGGCCCTCGCTGAGCTCCTCGGATGGAAGGTAAGGAGCCAGGCAACCCCAGCCTGTCCTGAGCCCCGTCCCTAGACCCTCTCCCAGCCCCATCTGTCCTCTGACCCCATGATGCACAGTGACCTTTGACTTCTGTGACCTTTCCCGTGCAGAAGGAGCTGGAGGACCTTGTTCGGAGGGAGCACGCCATCATAGATGCCCAGTCAGAGGGGGGGGCCCCCAACCCCAGCACTTCAGCTTCCCCCGGGAAGTCCCCGCCACCTGCCAAGGAGGAGGCCAGGACGACAGAGAGGGAGAAACCCCAGTGACAGCTGCAGCTCCCAGGCAGGATGTCCAGCCCCTCAGGGACAGCTGAGCCCCAACCAGGCCTGGCCCCCTCTTAACCTGCAGTTCTTGTCTGGAGAGCTCAGAACAACCCCCCGATCTCTTAACCTCTCCCCCTCAGAACTGGGGTTCTAGCGACCCTGCCCTCCAACCCCAGCAAATCTAACACCTCCTAGAGACCAAGGCTGGGACAGGCGTCTCTACCAGCCCCACCATCTCTAACCACTCCACTAATCATTAACCACCCCCACAGGGCCAGGCCTACCCCGGACTTCCAGGACAGGGAGCTTTGGGCCCCCACTCTCTCTCCTGTCCCCAGGGGCCTGTGGCTAAGTAAACCAGACCTAACCTACCCCAACGGGGTTGTGGGCCTCCGAATGAAACCTACACCCAGCATAGGGGAGTTTGAGCCAGACGGGCTCCCGAGTCTCTCCCTTCAACTCCCTAAGTGGGTGGTGGGCCCCTTCACATGGGACCCACTTCCCATGCTGGGTGGCCACAAGACATTGCTTGTTGGAGACATATTAAAAACAGAAACAACTAACAGTCGGGTCTGGCCTCCTGCTTCTTCTGCGGCAGCCAGGGAAATCGCTGAAGGGAGGGGTTAGATCTCAGGCCACTGAGGAACCAGAAAGTCTCCGGGCTCCAGAGTGAGGGGTGACAAGAGGGTCCTCACGGCGGTCCCCTCATGGCTCTGACCCCTGGACTCCCAGCCTCCCAGTGTCCCTTCCTCTAAGCCCCGTCACTGAAGGCCTGAGCCCCCGAAAGAGGGAGGAAGGTTGACTGCAGATACCCCAGCCCCGCCTCTTCCCCTGCTCAGCTTCCTCTCTGCACTTCCTGCCACTGCAGGCCTCTCCGAGAACAGGTAGGGCCCCCAGGGACCGAGCATCTGGCATCTTCAGCCCCTCTGCCTCCCTTTGGTATCAGGCAGCTGCCCCCCTTCCCAGCACCGCCCACAGCCTCCTCCCCTGCCACGGTACCCAGGCAGGCATGTGCCTGCCTTTCCCCTCCTCTCCCCTCCTTCCTGCTATGGCCTGGGCAGGGCACCTGCACCTCCCCCCCGCCCCACCTCTCTCCTTCCTAATAGCACCCTGGGCTTCTGGTCAATAGGCTAATTTGTTTGTTTAGCTGCTAGTTATCCATATGCTACACCTGCCCCAAACAAGAATGGAAGGCCCTGAGGGGAGGGGCCTGTCCTGTTCATCAGCCTCTCTCCAGGGCACAGGCACCTGACTCCAGCCTGTATTCAATAAATATTGGATGATGGGAAGGAAGGAAGGAAGGACGGACGGAAGGAAGGAAGGAAGGAAAGATGGATGGATAGAAGGAAAGAAAAGGAAAGGAAGGAAGGACAGATGGAAGGAAGGAAGGAAGGGAGGGAGGGAGGGAGGGTAGGTGGATGGAAGGAAAGACAAGATGGATACATGGATAGAAAGATGAATGGGTGGAAGGAAAGGAAGGAAGAAGAAAGGAATAAAAGGAAGGAAGGAAAAGGAGGGAGGGAGGGATAGAGGGAGGGAGGGGTGAATGGGTGGGTGGGTGGGTGGAAGAATGGATGGATCCTCCTCAGACCCAGGTCTCCTGCTCCTGGGACTGCTGCAGGGACAAGTGGCCCCCCTCAAGTGATAACCCACATAGGACTCTGTACCTGGGTAGGAGCTGGGCTCTGATGGGTGGATGGAGAGAGAGGGACAGATGTGCGATGAAGCAGGGTGAGTAAAATGTTCATGCTAGCATCTTGGCAGTGGGCATATGGATGTTTTCTGTACAATTCTTTCAGCTTTTCTCTATGCCTGAAATGTTTCATTAAAAAGCACTGGGGGAGGACATTCAACGGTCCCCCCCCCGAGGTATGGGAAGGGAGGAAGAGGGGATTGCATTTCCCTACAGTTGTATGCACTGCCTACTGTGGGCCAAGAACTTTTCCAGGCACTGCGTTTTGTCAAGGGCTGGTCCACGTTCACACAGCTGCCGTAGCTGTTAAAATCTTCAAATATTCCCTATCACTTAATAAAGAGCTGTTGTTTTGAGTCCTCTCCCCACACCCCAAGACACACTGTCCTCTCTCCTGGGATCCACAGATTCCCCACCATCCAGGACTAAAGAATTAACCCCTGCTAGCCAGGCATGGTGGCTCATGCCTGTAATTCCAGCACTTTGGGAGGCCAAGGCGGATGGATCACCTGAGGTCAGGAATTTGAGACCAGCCTGGGTAACATGGCGAAACCTCGTCTCTACTAAAAATACAAAAATAAGCCAGGCATGGTGGTGCATGCTTGTAATCCCAACTACGCGGGAGGCTGAGGCAGGAGAATGGCTTGAATCCAGGAGGCAGGGGTTGCAGTGAGCTGAGATTGCACCATGGCACTCCAGCCAGGGCAACACAGCTAGACTCCATCTCAAAAAAAACAAAAATAAAAGCAGCAAGCAGCCTCTGGGGTCCATTCTGATAGGCCAGGGTCTCTGATACTGATTGTAAATATCTGGAACATGACCCAGGGGCTGGAGCAGCCCTGAGAGTCTTATATTCCTCCCTGCCAGAGGCCAGGCCATGACTCACTGGCTTCCTGCATACTGAGGATGGCCCAGACGGAGGACGAGGCACCTGAGGTCCCCACAGATGGGGAGAGGTGAGGGCTAATGGGGCTGAGGCTGCACTCTCCTTCCCCTACATCCAGAAACCCTTTCCATCCAACACCTCCCTCACTACAGAACCCTGAACTGCTGTCTGAGCCTCTGCCTTGCCCCTTCCTGTACCTTTGACCTCACCTCCATGTCCCACTGCCCACCTCTGACCCCTGACCCCCTGGACACTGTCCATCCCAGGCTGGTCCCATCACAGGTGGACAAAGCAGACAGGACCCCTCTAGGGGTCCTGAGCGCCCTAGAGCCACTTCTTCGCCTGCAGAGAACATGGGGGGTGTGGCATGTGCCAGAGCTGGATACCCAGGACGCAGAAGCCCTCGTGGGGCTGTGGCCACTGGGGGTGAGTACTCACAGCTGGGGGCCCATCCTGACTCCCATGACACCCGAGATCAGGACTCTGCTCGTTACTAGCGACGAACACGACACAAGCTGGTCAGACCAAAAAGGCCGGGTGTGCCAGATGTGATGGCTCATGCCTGCAGTCCCAGCTACTAAGGAGGCTGAGGTAGGAGGATCACTTGAGGTCAGCAGGTCGAGGCTGCAGTGAGCTGAGATCATGCCACTGCACTCCAGCCTGGGTGATGGAGTAAGTAAGACCCTGTCTCAAACAACAACAACAAAAATACAAGTCGTTTCAAGAAGGACTAGATCCTGGACTTCAGAACTTTTGTAAATTTCTCTGCATCCGATTTCTTGGCTTTGCTTTCAACCGCAGGAAATTTTGGATATTTGGGACCGAAAATAACAAACACATGTCCTACAGTGGATTAAACAAATGAGATTTTACCTTCCTAACATAACTACAAAGGCGGCTTCTGGCTTTAGATCAGCAGCTCGATGACACGGAGGTCAGCATAGCTGTAATTCTCTTGGACTTCCCTCACAGCTGCCCCTGGGCTGCCCCAGGCCCAAGCACCTGTGTGCATTCCAGGCAGGAAGGAAGGAGACACCACTTGCATCTGTTTATCTCACAGGAAAAATAAAGGTTTTCACAACTGATTCAGAAAATACAGATGGCTGACCAGGTGTGGTGACTCAAGCCTGTAATCCCAGCACTTTGGGAGGTTGAGGTGTGAGGATCGCTTAAGGCTAGGAGTTCAAGACCAACCTGGGCAACATAGCAAGGCCCCATCTCTATTTTTTTTTTTAAAGTGGGGGTGGGCAGAGTGACTCACCCTATAATCCCAGCACTTTGGGAGGCCAAGGTGGGTGGATTACGAGGTCAGGAGTTTGAGACCAGACTGGCCAACATAGCGAAATCCCGCCTCTACTAAAAATACAAAAATTAGCCGGGTGTAGTGGCGCACACCTGTAATCCCAGGACTTTCGGAGGCCAAGACGGGCAGATCACGAGGTCAGGAATTCAAGACCAGCCTGGCCAACATGGTAAAATCCCATATCTACTAAAAATTCAAAAATTAGCTGGGCATGGTGGCATGTGCCTGTAATCCCAGCTACCTGGGAGGCTGAGGCAAGGGAATTGCTTGAATGGGGCCCCAAAAGGCAGAAGCTGCAGTGAGCTGAGACCATGCCACTGCACCCCAACCTGGGCAACAGAGCAAGACTGTTTCAAAAAAAAAAAAAAAAAAGAATCTTGTGGAAGATGTCCATTGGCTGAGCTTGAGTCACATATCCTTTCCTGAACCAAACAGTGGGCAGAGAGCACAGTAATCCTACTGGCTAGATCAGGTCTTGGGGCTACCCTCAGGGCTTAGGGGAAATCAGCCCCACCCACATGCACTGACAGTACAGAGTTTCCCTAAAGGAAATTTGGGGTACAGAACCCAAAATAAGGGAAATCGATGCTAATCAGGCAAAAGGAACAGGCATCTGTGCATACCTTTGTCACGCTGGCCCTTGTCTCTATTCCCCAGAGTTTCTTGGTCACAGGACGTGACCCCAGCCAGGTCCTGGTGTTGAGGACAGGACCTTTACCAGGAGGAGTCAACACCTACCAGATCCAGAAGATTCCCGGAGGTAAGGCATGTTCCCTGAGTCTCCAGCCCACAGTCAACTGATCACTAAAAACTGTCAGCTAGACTGGCGAGGTGGCTCACGCCTGGAATCCCAGCACTTTGGGAGGTTGAGGTGGGTGGATCGCTGGAGGCCAGGAGTTCGAGACCAGCCCGGACAACATAGTGAAACCCCATCTCTCCTAAAAATATAAAAATTAGCCAGGCTTGGTGAAGCACGCCTGTAATCCCAGCTACTTGGGAGGCTGAGGCATGAGAATAGCTTGAACCCAGGAGATGGAGGTTGCAGTGAGCCGAGATCGCACCACTGCACTCCAGCCTTGGCAACAGAGGGAAACCCTGCCTGAAATAAAAAATAAAAACTGTCAGCTTTGCTTCCAAAGTATCTGATAAATATTCCTAACTGCCTCCCTTTCCTTCCTGAAATCCATTCTGAGCAGAACATATTTTAAAACATCAATCAGGTGTTAAACACCTCTGCCTCAAACCCTGCGAAGAACATACAACATCCTTATATACAAATGCGAAGTCCTTGTCACGATCTGTGCGTGAGATCTAGCCCCTGCCCGTCTCTCCATCTATTGACCCTCATTCTGAAGCAGGAACGGCGGAGAACAAACCTCTAGAACACCGAACTGAGGAAGGAAGTGGCTTTTTATTTGGCCAGGAGCTGCGGGGGGCTACAGCCTCATTCACAGAGCTCCGTAAGCTGCAGCTTCTCTCCCCTTTTATAGGCTTGCAATGCTAAAGGGGAAACTGAGGCGGAACTATGTCATTGTCCATTTGCTGGACGTCCAACCTTACAATCTTTTGGCTTCATTTATTTGCTAATTCATGTGCAATGCGAGCGGGGACCAGCAGGGGAGGGGGCTCACAGAGACAAGACAAAAGCAACAAGCTGTTTGTTGGCAGCGGTGTTTCCAGGAGGGAGCCTGGTCCGTGGAGGTGTGGGGGCGAGGCCCAGTGCCGGGCTCCAGCCTGCAGAGATAACATTGATCTGTAGCTCTTTCAAGGTTAACAGTTAGCAGAGAAGCTGGGAACTAAAGAGGGAGTCATTTTCCCAGCGCTTTCGTATTTTATTTCATTTTTTTTTCCTTCTTCACTCTCCTTTTCATCTGGAAGAAGGGGAGGGAGGAGGTGAAATTGAAGGAGGCAAGGGGGTCTCCCCTCTCGATTCACTCTGCCCCTGACACCCCGTTCTCCTCCGTGTGTCTTTAGCATGCTAAGTGTGTTCCAGCTTCAGGACCTCTGCTTGGGTTCTTCCTGCATGATGCTCCTCCTGGAGGGGTTGCTTTAGTCTCCATCCTCCAGGCCTCTGCAGAAATGTAATCTTCCAGGCCGGGTGTGGTGGCTCAAGCCTGTAATCCCAGCACTTTGGGAGGCCGAGGCGGGTGGATCACGAGGTCAAGAGATCGAGACCATCCTGGTCAACATGGTGAAACTCCGTCTCTACTAAAAATACAAAAAATTAGCTGGGCATGGTGGCACGTGCCTGTAATCCCAGCTACTCAGGAGGCTGAGGCAGGAGAATTGCCTGAACCCAGGAGGCGGAGGTTGTGG